AGAGATGTACTTATTTTACATATAGAATCTGGTTCACAATTGACAAGTACTGTTTGATTTTTTACTTTGGCATTAGGTCTATACGCAAGCCAACCACGCTGCTTGTACGGTTCACCTTTGGCGGAATGTCAAACATCTCTACAAGCCAAAAAGCCTCTGCCGACTAATGTCTGAAGCAGCGTAAGCGTTTCATGTCACTCATTTCAATCGGATTTTTCTGAAGAGACAAAAATTAAACCCTAGAGGTGCTGCATATTTAGTTGATTTGGGTACGTTTGTTTTACTCTCTATTATTATATTGGTCAGCTTCCATATAGTTATAGTAAATTGGTTGACAGGATTGTAGATTACATAACCATGTATATTGTAATGTGTATAGGGTTTTCAGAATGGACCAGAGTGCATTCAAAAGGTCGGCGTTTCAATATTATGGATAGTAACACATGTGAGTCGTGGAACAACGTTATTAAAGAGGCACGCGAGTACCCACTTATTTGCATGCTGGAGTACATAAGAACAACTTTGATGGATTGGTTTGCTACTAGAAGGGCTCAAGCTGAAGACTACCACTTTAGCTCCGAGAGTGCATGAAAGAGTTAAGGAAAACTATCAAGCCGCCATGTCAATGTCTGTTAAGCCAATTTGCAACTTCGAGTTCCAGGTCCAAGTTTAGACTGGTGAATGTTTTATTGTCAAATTGGACAAGTCTACTTGTTCTTGCTTGGAATTTCAAGGTTTAGGGATACCTTGTGCTCACGCAATACAAGTTGCTGCTCGGCTTGGAGTTCCTACAAATTCTTTGACAGCAATCGGATATTTTAATGAGTTAGTGAAGCTAAGTTATGAGGAGAAAATCTATCCAATTCACTCTGTTGGTGGGGAGGTCGCACCCAGAATAGCTTTAGGAACGACAGGGGAGGTGCATCCACCATTTTTTCGGCGGCCACCTGGGAGACCAAGGAAGATAAGAATATTGTCTCGTGGTGAATTCAAGGCAAGTTCAGAATATTAAAACAGTACATAGTCCATTCGATTTCTTAAAATCTAACATCTTCTATACTTCTAATTTGCAGTGCAACAAATCCAGTTCCCAGAGGAGGTGTTCACGTTGTTGTGGTGTTGGCCACAACAAAGCCTCCTTCCGTAATACTATATAAGTCGTCAACTACTTCTATGGGGTGCTATAAGGTGTTATGAAGTAACTTTCTGGTTTGGGAAAAATAATGGTTGTTCTCGCCTACTCTGCGGAAGCGAGAGTGTTTACTTCTACTAATGCAGGCTACAATACAAGAAAGAACGTCGTCTTTTTAATTTGGGGGTAATCTGTATTTAGGGTTCATCTCTTCAATTGTCGAGAACAAAACAGAGGTTTTACGAGAGAGAAATTGAGACGAGAGAGTGAAACGAAAATGGGTGATAGAGGGAGAGGGATTCCAAGTCGATGTAGATGTGGAGAGGATGTGGTTTTGAGGACATCCAAAACTGTGAAAAATCCAAGGAGACTCTTTTATGCTTGTCGATGTGGAGAGGAGGTAATGATATTGTAGTGTAAGTACTGTTAAATTATGGAACATGTCTGAATTGTGTTTTTGGTATGTATCAGAATGGTCGTGGTCACTTGTTTAGGTTGACAGATGAAGTAATGGTGGAAGAGATGGAAGACATACTTCCAAAGATTGATGAACTTGAAGGGGCTTCATTGACCTTATAAAAAGGGTTACAAGCTTTAGAATTTGAGATGGAAACTCTAGCAATGGAGACTCGTACATGTGAAGTTGTGGTTTGCGGCTTTGAGAAGTACTTCTAGGTTTAGAGAAGGAGATTCAAGGTTGCAAGATGGAATTGCGTGGTTTGAAGAACATTCTTGTGTGTGTAGTGTTGATGACTCTTGTCTATGTGTTTGTGTTTTAGTAATTGTAGTTGTGTTTGTTATGTATTGATAGGCCTGTTGTAGTGATTTGGTTCCCTTTTGTGTTCTGTATTATTCAGATAATGCACTTACCAAAGATTTAAAGAAGTTGAGTAACCATAATGTGGGGAAAAAATATCATTTTGGTTACAAAATCCTTAATCAAGAATTCAACATAACATGAAAATATTATCCTATGTATCTTATTATACAAACATTCTGCAATCTTCTTAAGAACATCACTATTAATTGGTGAATTTAAAAACAAAGAGTCACTGATTACATAAAAACATTCGGGGTTGGTTGGCGGCTTTTGCACTTGAAGACTCAAGCAGTACGTTCTTCTGGAGATAAGGCATTGAACGTTTCGATAGCGTACTGTTTAGCTGCCCCTCGCCTCTTCTCTTCGTCTAGTTTAGCACAATAGTCCATGGCATTAACTGAATGTAGCTCAAGTAAGATCACACAAGCAATTCCAACAAGGCTTGAAAATCACACGTGAAATATATATGTCACACAATCAAATATGAAATACTTATCGAAACAGGATCATGAAAGACAACTGATATGTCTATAATTTGCATGTTTTCAGTGTTCATTCATCATCATTTTGAGTCTAGTTTAATATCCTTCATCATTGTTTTGTATCATTTCTCATCAATCTTGCATACTTTGGATGATTAGGATAGCTTTGCATACATATTGCATTTCTGAGTTGTTTTCAGGTGATTTGGAGCTGTTGTCGAGCAAATTGGAAGAAGCGAGCCGGAATCAGAGGACTTACTCGACCATTAGGTCGTGTACATCCAACACAATACTCGACCCCCTGGTCAAGTGGCTTTGGAGCCATTCTTCCCATCTACTCGACCCCCTAGTCGAGTAACCATAGCTCAGACCACTCGATGACACCACTCGACCCCCTGGTCGAGTATCACTTTGTCACACCACCTGACCACACTCGGCCGTTCACTCTACCACATTACTCGAGCCTCTGGTCGAGTATAATCACTCAACACCAACACCACCACTCGACCAAGCACTCGATCACATCTTCAGAGTCTACTCAAATCCGCACTCAACCAGACAAGCTGAGCACAAGGAAGGGAAGAGTAGAAGAAGAAGTGTTTGGAAGCGTCCAGAGCTTCATCTGATCACGAAGCCCATCTCGGCCCATTATCACTCTATGGGCCGGTCGATTAGGTTTCCGGCCCATCTACTATCATTTTATTTTGTTTAGTATAAATAGGTGTCTTAGGGTTTTGTCCTGGGACATCTAGTGGACATTGATTTTTTGCTTCTGTTTTACTCTGGCTGCGCCGCTTTTGCTTGTGCAACCTGTAATTCGAGATTTTTCCAAGTTATTCAGATTCCGCAATTGATTTCATCTGTCATCTTGTTTCTCTACTCTTTATCTCTTTACTTATGCAATATTATCATTTACCTGCGTTTATGTCTTTGAGCATGTTGTCTGAGTAGTGACATAAAGTTCTTAAGGATGAGATAGAATGATTGTGGAATCCTTAGTCTGTAGAATGGTTAAGTTTTTGAATTGATTGAATCCCTTCAGGACTAGTTGTGTTTACTGCTTATTTCTTTCTGATCAACTAGAATTCGATCCAAAGCATTCCCGCACCCAGAAGGTGTTTGATGGAATGCTTGATCCACTAGTTCCTGATATATTCGTCTCTATCCCAAGGGATTGGCCGTTTAGAGTGTTTATTGACTTTATCAGTCTGTTCTTATTGTCTGCATAGTTAGATTCTGTTAATGGGAATTAGTCTAGGCTAGCTTTGCTTGAGGATTTCTATCACGGGAGTGAATTGATCTATTGTTGAACCTGTTATCTAGGGATAACTTGATTGCGCTTATTAACCATTCGAATAGGTTAGGATACCACTCTATTCAATTACCCCATCCTTAGGAATTTCTCGTCTATCTGATTGCTCTGTTTATCGTTATCGCTTAATCGTTCTCATTGCCTGTTTCTTAGTTTTTGCAATTACTCGACCAACTTACTCGACCACACCCAGTGTCTGGCAACAGACTATGCAGTCGAGTACAGTTGTCTCGTTTCCTGTCTGTTACTCGACCAACATACTCGACCACACCCAGTGTCTCGCAACAGACTGTGCAGTCGAGTATAGCTATTTTATTTCCTATCTGTTACTCGACCTGTTAATCGACCACATCCTGCTTCTAGCATCAGCCTATTGTGGTCGAGTAATTTTAGTAATTCTGTTATTGTTTATGTTTTCTGCATGTTCGCTTAGGACACTTAGACACCCCAAAACTGTTATTGCTTGGCTTGACTTAGTGACTTCTGATCACATCTCATGTGTTTGCATCACACCCATTTGGATTGACACCTAAAATACTATAACGACATGATATTGCTTTAAGATTAATTGAGTAAAAACCTATTATCAATTTGGCGCCGTTGCCAATTGGGTGTTTGTTGCTATATTTGAGATTTTAGAATATTTAAGATCAAGTTCTTTTTCATTTTTACTAAAAGTTACTAGCTTTGTGTTTTTTTTCTGTTTGTCTGTTTTGATTCAGGTACTACGAATCACCAGCTTCACCAGTCGGTACTCGTTGTATGCAAACACGGTCATAAGGAAATCAGAATCTCCTATTCAACGATAACATCGACCGTATTGCTCGTCAACTCAGAACACAGACAGAAACAGACACAATGGCTGCAGTTGTAGATGAGCAAGTGCAACTAAACAACATAGGTGCAGGCGATGCACCACGCTACCATAATCAGCGTAATGGCATCGTGCCTCCACTAGTGCAGAACAACAACTTTGAGATCAAAAACGGTCTCATTGCCATGGTTCAGAGCAACAAGTTTCACGGCCTCCCTATGGAAGATCCACTCGATCACCTGGACGAGTTTGATAGGCTCTGCAGCCTAACAAAGATCAATAGAGTTAGTGAGGACGGCTTCAAGCCCAGATTGTTTCCATTCTCTCTTGGAGATAAAGCCCATCAGTGGGAAAAGTCGCTTCCTCAAGGCTCTATCCCCTCCTGGAATAGCTGCACGAAAGCCTTCTTGCCTAAATTTTTCTCAAACTTCAGGACTGCGAGACTACGGAATGATATTTCCGGTTTCACAAAGACAAAATAATGAGACTTTCTATGAAGCATGAGAGCGCTTCAAAGGTTATCAGACGCAATGTCCTCATCATGGTTTCTCCAAAGCTTCACTTCTCAGCACTTTCTATAGAGGTGTCCTTCCCAGTATCATGATGCTTCTTGATACAGCTTCTAACGGGAACTTCCTCAACAAAGACGTTGAAGAAGGATGGGAGCTGGTAGAGAACTTGGCTTACTCGTATGGCAACTACAATGAAGATTATGACAGAAGCATCCGCACCAGCTCTGATTCTAATGAGAAGCACCGCAGGGAAATGAAAGCTATGAATGAAAAACTGGACAAGCTACTACTTGTGCAACAGAAGCACGTTCATTTTCAAGGTGATGATGAGACGTTCCAAGTTCAGGATGGGAAGACTCTGCAGTCAGAAGAGGTCAGCTATGTGCAAAACCAAGGAGGTTTCAATAAAGGTTTCAACAACTTCAAGCATAACCATCCCAATCTGTCTTACAGAAGTACAAATGTTGCAAACACGCAGGACTAAGTCTACCCCTCACAGCAGCAGAATCAACCCAAGCCCTTTGTTTTATACAACCAAGTTCAGGGGTATGTTCCTAAGTAGTAGTACCAGAGCAACTATCAGCAGCAACTTCCACCATCGGGGTTCACACAGCAGCAAAATCAACAATCATCACCAACTCCAGATTGAGACTTGAAGAACATGTTACAACAGATTCTCCAGGGACAAGCAGCAGGAGCAATGGATCTCGCCAAAAAGATGGCAGAAATCCACAACAAGGTTGATTGCACTTTCAACGATCTAAACATCAAACTTGAGGCACTTACCTCTAAGTTCTGTTACATGGAAGGACAAACAGGGTCCACCTCTGCTCCCAAAGTAACAGGACTTCCAGGGAAGTCAATCCCAACCCGAAGGAATACGCCACCGCTCACGCAATCACAATCTGCCATGATCAAGAGCTGCCAACTCGACATATCTCCAACGCAATCACTGTGGCCAGTGATGTTCAGGAAGGGGAGGCTTATACTCAGATTAAAATTTCAGTTGTTGGACTCGACCATTCAGCTGGATCCCGTTTTCAAACTCAGTCCTACCTAGACGAGAAAGCAGCCATCATTGATAGGATGGTAAAACGATTCAAGCCAGCACCATTACCTTCACGTGCTCCCATGGAAATTCAGGAAAGCATGGATAAAAAGATACAATTCTCTTGTAGAGAAGAAGCTTGATGAGATGGAAGCGGTGATGCCTCTAATAGAAGTTCTCAACCTGATCCCGGATCCCACAAAGATGTGAGAAATTCAATTCTGGAAAGGATCAAGATGTATCAAGATTCAGAATACGAATGTGATGCTAATCCGTCTAGAGCCACTGTTAAGAGGAGCGTTCAAGAAAAACTGGAAGATCCTGGATCTTTCACTCTACCATGTTCCATTGGGCAATTGGTTTTCAGCAATTGTCTATGTGATTTGGGAGCTTCAGTAAGTTGAATGCCACTCTCCGTGGCAAGGAAGCTGGAATTCACTAAGTACAGGCCTTGCGACCTAACTTTGATCATTGCTAATAGGTTTCAAGAAAACCCTTCGGCCTGCTAAAAGATCTACCAGTAATGATTAATGGAGTGGAAGTGCCTACAGATTTCGTTGTGCTTGAGATGGAAGCAGAACCTACGGATTCTCTAATCCTAGGGAGACCTTTCTTAGCCTCAGCGGGAGCGATGATAGATGTCAAAGACGGGAGAATAAGTCTCAACCTTGGGAAGCACATCAAGCTGCAGTTTGACATCTACGAAACTTCGCAAAGGTCAACTGTAGAAGAAAAGATCATGGCTCAACCTCAGCCTTCGAATTCAATCACCCGACCAAGCACAACCTCTACACCTGACTTGTGAGAACTAAAAAGAAATCTGATGAGCAAGAAGAAACTATAGAAAAGCTAGCTCAGACAGTTGAGGAACTTAAGAGTAAACTAGATCAGATACAAGAGAAAGCTCAACCAAAATGCGGGATTGATACTATCCCGAGAAAAAAGTTTACTTCAAGATGGTCTGAGGAGATAGATTATCCACCAGAAGAGAAAGAGGCCTATTTCGAGGAAAGAAGAATTGAGTATTCTGCTACACATCTCTCAAGAGAGGATGCTGAATATGATGATGAGGTCAGAGAGGACTATGCAGGTCCTCTATATCACCCATTTTCTTCTTAATGAGTGTGAGGAGTCAAGCTAGAGACTTTAAACAAGCTCACTTGGAAGGAATTCCCAAGACTGTTCCTGTAAATAAAAGTTTTATTTTCTTGTTATTTTTGATTTGTTTTTGGGTATGTTTGTGATTCTCAGGAACAGAGAAACAACGTGGAGGTAGAGTAAAAAATCAAAAATTTTACTCTAAAGAGCAACAGGGGATCGAGTATGTCAGTGTAGAGAAATTCAAGAATTTGAAAAAGTTCTGTTGCACTTAGAGACCATGAGATCGAGTAGGTTGGTCAAGTATTAGTGATGATTTTAAAACCCAAAATTTTGAAATCATCTTTATACTCGACCAACAGAAGCTACAAAGACTTACAGGGAGATTCTTCAATGGCCTGGGAGCAATCACATGCAGCTATTGACGACCAACTCCGCTCCTTCTTCGACTGAGGTAAGCACCTCACTTCACCATTGTATTATACCATCTCTTGTTTTTATTTTGTTTATGTGATGATTTTTGTCCTGAGTACTCTCTTCCAAGTTTGGTCACATAGTGACTGTTTGATTTAAGTTTGGGGGAGGGCTCAGGAAGTGTGTGTTGCATTTTATATAATCTTGAATCTGCATTCATCTACGGCATAGAAAAAAACAAAAAAAATTGATAAATTTCAGAAAATGATTTCACAAAAATAGAGTGTTCATGTTGTTGCATTGCATTTAGGATCGAGTATAGAGTGTTTCATTTAGGATTATTGCATATGCATAGGGGCTAATGATGAGATAGCCTTGTAAGCATTTTGGTTCACCAGATAAACTCAGTGCCCTCGTTGTTAGTTGTCTGATGCGTAGTCAATGAAATTGAAGTAAAACTGCACCATGCCGAGATGCTCTACTCGACCACACTGTTATGATCTGATACCAGTCCCTATCAATTTGAACTTGAATCTGATTTAGAACTATCATGTCATGGCATCGAATTTGAACTCATGGATACCCTAAAATACTTGGATTTTTTAACTCATTTTAACCACTCTTGTTAGTCCAAGAAGCTGACTCTCCTTATTAGGGCAGTTAACCTGAACCCAAACCTAAACTTTCTTTCAAGCCCTATATCACTTATGAGTGTTTGCAAGGTCTTATTTCGATTGAGCTTGGAAATTGTGTTAGGTTCGTAACGACAAAGATAGTGTCTCATGTAGTTCTAATTCGCGTTTTTCGGACTGGATAGGACTAGGTGAGCGCTTATATCATGGGTTGAGATGTATTTAAAAGAAAAGGGTGAATTCATTGTTGATAAGGAAAGGGAAAGAATTCTAGGGGAAGTAAGCTAAAGAAGTTAGAAAAAAATCTAGTAAAGGTTTTGGGAATGTTAAAGAAAAGAATGAGGTTCTTGTTAGCTAAAGAAGAAGGGTTGAAAGCCTTTGGTTTTAAAGATTAAAAACAAGAACCTTAGTTGTTAAAGAAACCCAAATCCTCTAGATATATCGAAGTGTTCAGAAAGCTTCTCCTAGAGTTAAGAGAAAAGAAAATAATGATATGAAAAAGGGGTTTAAAAAGATTCATGAATGCAAAAGGGTAGAGTTAAGTTCTTATTTTGGGACTAGAGTTGGGATTACCATTAGAGCTTCATTGTTATACTCTGGGTAGATGGGATCTTATCTCTGTATGCATAACTTGGGAATTACCTTTAGCATTCCACTAAAGCTCAATCATTCTTGAGAGATCCCCTGTTACTTAAAGCCTATTTTGTAAGGGACCATCTTTGTCTCTTGACCTTCACCTTAGCCAAATGTGTTCACCTTAGCTTTGGTTCTGAGTCCCCACCTTCAAACCTCTCCTTCAACTATGTCTTCTTATTTGCTTGAGGGCAAGCAAAGATTAAGTTTGGGGAGTTGATATGTCTATAGTTTGCATGTTTTCAGTGTTCATTCATCATCATTTTGAGTCTAGTTTCATATCCTTCATCACGTTTTGTATCATTTCTCATCATTCTTGCATACTTTGCATGATTAGGATAGCTTTGCATACATATTGCATTTCTAAGTTGGTTTCAGGTGATTTGGAGTTGTTGACGAGCAAATTGGAAGAAGCGAGCCGGAATCAGAGGACTTACTCGACCATTAGGTCGTGTACATCCAGCACAATACTCGACCCCCTGGTCGAGTGACTTTGGAGCCATTCTTCTTATCTACTCGACCCCCTGGTCGAGTAACCATAGCTCAGGCCACTCGATGACACCACTCGACCCCCTGGTCAAATATAACTTCGTCACACCACCAGATCACACTTGGCCGTTCACTCTACCACATTACTCGACCTCCTGGTCGAGTATCATCACTCAACACCAACACCATCACTCGACCAAGCACTCGATCACATCTTCAGAGTACTCAAATCCGCACTCAACAAGACAAGCTGAGCACAAGGAAGAGAAGAGGAGAAGAAGAAGTGTTTGGTAGCGGTCCGGAGCTTCATCTGATCACGAAGCCCATCTTGGCCCATTATCACTCTGTGGAAAGTCGATTAGGTTTCTGGCCCATCTACTATCATTTTATTTCGTTTTGTATAAATATGTGTTTTAGGGTTTTGTCCTGGGCCATCTAGTGGACATTGATTTTTTACTTCAGTTTTATTTTCTGTTTTACTCTGGCTGCGCCGCTTTTGCTTCTGCAACTTGTAATTCAAGATTTTTCCAAGTTATTCAGATTCCGCATTTGATTTCATCTGTCATCTTGTTTCTCTACTCTTTATCTCTTTACTTATGCAATATTATCATTTACCTGCGTTTATGTCTTTGAGCATGTTGTCTGAGTAATGACATAGAGTTCTTAAGGATGGGATAGAATGGTTGTGGAATCCTTAGTCTGTAGAATGGTTAAGTTTTTGA